TATATATATATATATATGTGCACACAAGTATAATTATAATAGGTGTCTTACGTGTTGATGTTAAATAAGTATATGATGTAAGATAAATATAATGATCAAAAAGAGAAAAAGAGGACGAGAAAAAATGTAAAAAAGTATTAAGTTAATTATATTAAAAACTTTGTGAATAAAGTGAAAGAAAACAAAGAGGTAGACAAGAGAAAGAGAAAAAGAGAGAGAGAGAGAGACGCACGAGACGTATAAAAGTGTCACGTTAATCGATTCGCATGTAGCGCCACATGCAACTACATTATACGCGTGCACACACACACACATTCATACGTATACAGGTGTATACAATACGCAGCGCGTTAGTTGTAGCGACGCTTTCGCAAAGTTATTACAAAAGCTACTCCATTCAATGCTTTGCGAAGTACAAGTGGCACTACCTTCCAATCCCCCCTAGCTCGTTTCACCGCACCTTCTATCTTCGTGCTATCACTGCGTCCTATTCCATCCCCTACGAAGATACATATGTAGAACATACATACGTAGTGTAAATTTCACGTCTCGAGTGCGCTAGAGCGCTACTTAAGAAAATGCAATTTGCCCTGAGAAGCGGACAATCTGACCTATCGCGCTTTGCTATAAATAAAGATTGCCGTTCTTATTTTAGGATGAAAATTAGCGTGGGTCTCGGACAGTCTCGTCACGAGCCTCCTCGGTTATTTTCGTCGTCACCAAGACAAGATATGCATATACACTCTTTCTATCTCTCGATCTCTATCTCTATCTCTCTCTCTTTCTCACCTTTTTTCCCTCTTTATCTTTCTTTCAATCAAGGATTTCATTTAGAAATTATTAAATTGCATCTTGCTCCTTCGAACAATGAAGAAAAATGAAACTATGATTGGTATAAAGAAAAACGAAACAAATTAGTGTATAATTGATTAACAATCAATCATTTATCTGATTATTATTTGATTCATTTGAATAGAAAAAAAAAACAAAGAAATTTATTGAGTAGTGAGCTAAGCAAGAAAAAGAAGAAGAAGAAGCGATAATTGCATCGACTAAAAGATTTAGTTTCTAATGCCACGTCTAATTTCGTCTCGTTAGAACTTAAACCTTATGCATTTAAATCTGACAGACGGATGAAAGTCGAAGGTCAAGAACGAGAGAACGAACTCGGACTTCGTCAAGGGATTTCCTACGCCTCAGGCTTACTTTTGAACTCGTTCGATTTTGTCATTCTTCGAATAGAATAATTTGCTAATAACAGGGTTAACGATTGAAGATTAATAAAATTGACGAACAAAGTGTAGTTAATTTCTAACAATAAAATCAAATGGGATTTGTATCTTTCGCAATTTTACGCAATAAAGATTCTTAATCCGGATAATTGAAATCCCCATTTCACAAGTACGCGTAAGTTTTTATATATATGTATATGTGTGTGCACGTATGTATCGATATGTGTTTGTTGGCTGTCGGTACGACAGAAACTCTTATTTGAGAGTTTATAGATATATCTACGACAAAACGATGATCTCGATCGTGAACGAATCATCAACGATCCTTGTAGTCATCATCCAACTTAGATAACAACAGTGAATCAGAGCCTTTCCTTGAAATAAAAATTTTCGATGACGATATTCCTTCTTTCTTTCTCTTCCATTTTCTTTTTTTTTTTCTTACTTTTTTAACCTTCTTTGAGTAAACGAAAAAATAGTACAGAAGAAATAAAGCTCGCTATAGAATAGAATTATTTGATAGGGTGGATGAGGGGTAGCCAAGAGGGTACCGTGCAAGAAAGTTTTACATCCCGAGATGGCGTACATCCAATTTTACGTCGTTTCGCGCCAACGGCAGATTGAACCGGGTTTATCTAATTCGACTATTTATACGAGTAAACGCGAAATTCAACGGTGGAAAATTACCGATCTACGTGTTAGCGACAATTCACCCTTCTTTCCCTTTTGTTTCCTGAAAACGACATAGTGAGAATATTAACGATCATATGGATTTGTACTTAAAACAGTATATACCAAAGAAAGAGAGAAAGAATAATATAAAGAGGATATATCTAAATCCAAGACGTCGATCTTGAAATCATTCAAAATGTTTCCATCTTATTTAATTTAACTTTGTTATTTTAATTATATAAAACAAGATAAACGCGTTACATATATTATATCTATATAAATTGAGAAACAAAGAGACGATTTTTCGATAATAATCTACGCAGAAAGCAAACAACATGGCGTAAGTTGTTATAGCAAATAAACACGATACGCCGGCAAGTAATGTTGCCAACGATGTCCGCCAAAGCTTAGCATTATTCTATTTCCTAGGACGGATGATTCAAAATCGTTCGTCAGACGTATAACGAGCTATCTCTCTCTCTCTCTCCCTTTTTCGACTGAAATGTTCCCTATTGGTAGGTATACACCACTTGTTTCAGTGTTTCATCGATGTCGAACATTGATGATGCTAGAAACGGATCTACTAATTACACGCTAATTAGGTTCGGAAATGAACGGAAACCACGTAACGACGAGAAAATTGAAATTGGTGCATCTATCGATCCGCGGGCACAATTGGAAAACATTATTTCACGTATTAACAACAATTAAGTCATCAATAATGATCATGTAGTATTTCATTTGGAAATAAATATTATAAAACTAATTAATAAATATATTTTCTCATTCGAAAGTGGTAATACGTGAAGCCTTGCACCCTCCCCCTCTCTCAATCTTTCTCAAAAAACATTATTTTATGTATTAACAACAATGAAGTAATCAATAATGATCATGTAGTATTTCATTTGGAAATAAATATTATAAAACTAACTAATAAATATATTTTTTTATTCGAAAGTCGTAATACGTGAAGCCTTGCACCCCTATTCCTCTCTCAATTTTTCTTACTCGTTCCTACTCCCACTCTTTCTTTTTATCTCTATCTCCTATCCGCAACGAGAACTATCGATAATGGGCCTTGGCACAGTAAAATTCGTGTTAGTCGGACGGGAGCGCGCTCCTAACATTTTACTTCGAATGGCGTCATGACAAATCTGTTACATTCTTGGAAATGGATATTGGCCGGTCGCCAACCGCCGTTATCTACTTTCCTTTCGGAGTATGATCCATATCCTTAATCCTTTTCGTTGCTTACCCCAAAATTACCTGTTACGATCCCCTTTTAAAATTTATGATCAAAAATGTGGATCCTTAAATGACCCATTATACTCTAATATGAGAATTTACTAGTCACGTGTAACATTGTTCAAATTACCACGTGTTATCGACCGATATTTATCATAAAAAAATAAAAAAAAAAAAGAAGAAAAATAAATGTAGCGAATGATATTAATATAAATTTGACGTTGATAAAAGTTTAAAAAAATGAGTCGAGCAAATATCACGTTTAAACGATCACTCTTTACTAATAGAAAAAGGAAGAGAGATAGGCAAAAGCGATCCGAGATTATTTTAAGTGTTTCCGACATCTAATCGATCAAGTTCGCGTGATATACGTGTAAGGGACGATCAAGATTCATATGATTACACTTTTGACACCTAAGAAGAAAAGATCTTCTCCTTCGAAAGAAAGCTAAAATGATTGCTCTTGAATTCGTAATGCAAGTAATCTCGGTAAATACATTAATCATTAATTACTTAATATACGTATTCAATCTTTCGAAGAGTGAGTTAGCTATACAAAATGTCTATTATTAAGATAAAAGAAGTAGAAGAGGTAGAAGAAGAAGAAGAAGAAGAAGAAGAAAAAGAAAGAGGAGGAGACCATTTATCCGAATAAATATCTAACGATCTCTCGCGAATCCTCTACAATCAGTAACAAAGATATATGTAGCATCGATTATAAATTATACACGGGATGACCTCGAAAGGGCAAACCGAAAAGGTTTCGTTTATCGATTCTTTGTTAACACTACACGACGAGCGAAATTAGACGGTGACGACGACGATGACAACGACGATGACAACGAATCGAGGAATGATATCCATCCTATCACCTATATACGGAATAATCTCTCTGGTATATACAACTTACATAGGTGTATTGTATAAGGAAGAGGAATAAAGAATAAGAAGCTGATTTCGTTATGTGGGTCGTCCACTAGGTCATTTCGATTGCTCATTGTGCAAAGGTTAAAGTCCAATTATAGATGACTGAAAAATAAAATGACCCTTCTGTCCTGATACGAAATAATAAACGTTATCTGTATCTTCTTCTCTTTCTTACTCTCTCTTTTTCTCTTTCTCCTGATAGAACAAGATATATTCAAAAGATATATCTTAGAATTTACATTCTTTTATTGAAAAGTGGAACAGGTCGAACATCAAATATTCGAACTAATAATAAAAAAAGAACGAGAAAAAGAGAAGAAGAAGAAAGGGGTGAGAAGATAAGGTATACTTCGAAAATAAAAAAAGAAAAATAAAAAGATAAAGGATAACGTAAAGAAGAAGAATAAGGAAGGACGAAAAGAAGATATCGAGTTCGACCGCCTCTCTTTCTCTTTCTTTCTCTCTTTCTCCCTTTTTTTCTTTCACTCTTTCTCTCAACGGAAAGCCGTTTCTAGGGTGAAGCAGCACACGCACTGCGTAGAAACCATCCACCCAGGAAGAACTAGGTCACCGGTCACGTACAATACTTGTGCGAGCTCTTCGCGAAACATCATGCGACGGTGGGCGCACGCGCGCTCATTCGAGGGGGTGAAGAAGATACGTTAATTTTCCCTACACGTTTCGTCTTCCGAATTAAACGAAAGGAGTGAGGATAAAATAAGAAAGAAAAAGAAAAACAATAGATAAAAAAATTCATGCATAAATCGAACTAACTAAATTGAAACATACAAATACAAATAAATAATAGATAAACGAAGGAAAGAAAGAAAATTGTTTCTTTCCTTCGTCATGTACTTTTATTATTCTTCAACGTTTCGCACACGATGACATCACATCACTCAGAGATTACATCAAAAGTGAAAGAGTTAGTCACGGAAATATCGATTATATTCTCGAATGTGTTAAACGAGATTGAGATAAAAAATATCGTGCAAATTCGAAGGATAGATTTATTGTCGTCGTTAAACGAGCTTTTCTAAAATCGTTCGTTCGGAAGAGATCACAAATGGAGACAAAGTGAATAGCTTAAACTATTTCTCTTTCTTTCTCTCTGTTTTTGTTTCTACCTATCTCTATTATACTCACGGATAATGGTACTTAACAGAAATAGATCACTCATTTGGCGGCTAGCATCAAATTTGACGTTTTACGAGAGGCAAGCCACGCGTGAACGAACACATGTTATCTTTTAATGGTCGACAGTTTTTTTTCTCTTTCTAAAACGTTCGATACTTAATGTTTCGTAAATATTTTTTATTATTTAGCTTTTCAAAAAGTTAACGAGTTTAAAACACAAACAACGTAAACTGCTCTCTCATTGGAGAACTATCAACGCCATCTACGTTACTGTGATTTCACTGAAATTTTGCAATGATGAAAAAACCCTTTTTTCTTTCCCCATTTTTCTTAATCCTTTTTCCTGTTAAATCTTCAAGGTATTAGATTATTAACGTTATTTGAGAGCCACACGATACAGTTCGTAATATTCTTTGAATAGGTATTTACAAAGTAAAGGTCAAAACGTTGCTTTAAAGCACGAAAGATCTCTGTTATCTTTCTCCCTTTAATATTCTCGATAAACAAGCACGTTCGATTTCTCTCTGTGAACATAGAGTTTCATTTAGTTTTCCTTCACGTCACCTAAGTAGATATTAGAAATGGAACGTTGTAAATGTATACGCTTCTGTAAATGTGTCGCATCGCGTGCGAGATAGAAAGAGAAAGAGAAAATGAGGGAGGAGCATGCCTACGCGACGCGTATTTGCGTGCGCGTATCAACGATGTGACATATAAACACCTAAGTCGAACGGTTGAAACTTTGTGCGAGTATTATTATTACGTTATCGTTGACGATACTTTCAAATTCAAAAGGTATACCATTAAAACGGAGGATAAAGCCAATAGATAATATGAGGGAGTTTAATAACTCAATCTATTTTTTAACGTGTAAAGATAAAATGGAAATAAAAGGGCGCGCGAAAAGAAAGGAAAAGAAGAATAATACAAATACTAATACTAATGCGCGCGAATAGAATAAAAATGAAAGTAAATAACTTACAAGAATACGTCCAGTGGTGGTCTGTCCGGAAATCAGCTCGCCGGCCCAATCTTTGGCCTCAGTCATAAAAGTTCCCTCGAACTCCTTTCCATGGCGGTTCGATTTATGCTCCTTCTGCTTCGGGTCATTTGGGGCGAATTCGGGCTCTTTTCGGCAGCAAAGGAAGGCGAACGCGCGCCAGAGGAGGACGATAAGCAGCCCGGCGAGGAACGTGAAGATGCTCGACAGCAAGAAGCACCACCATTTTCGCTCCTTTAGGCAGTCATCTACCGGGGGCTGCTCGGTCGGCGTCTCTACGCTCGTCATTCCGGCGGATCTCTGCTGCCCCCGGATCACACATTCACCGGCCAACTGTTACTATGATGGCCGATCGCACGCACTTTATACGCTTCATAATTTCGTCGTCCCCTGAAGCCACGCGGCGGCTATCGTCGCCTTCTTCCTCTTCCACCGCTGCTGTCCTTTCTTTTTCTCTCCCGCCACCACTTCTTCCTCTTTTTCCACCCCTTCTTCTTCCTCCTCTTCCTCCACCTCCTCCTCTATCTCCTCCTCGTGCACCGTCGACTCTATCAACCACAAGAAATTTCCTTTCCACTATTTTCGCGCTATCACTCTTTCCTTCCTTCCACCCCCTTACCCCTTTCGATAAGCTCCTTTTTCTCCTCCTCTTCCTCCTTTTCCTCTTCTTCTTCTTCTTTTCCCTCTTCCACGTACGTGCTGCTGCTGCTGCTGCGTTCACCACTCTCTCTTTCCACCACCTCAACTCGGCTGCGAGACGACTGCTCTCTCTCTCTCTTTCTCTCCTCGCTCTTTTGCCCTTTACCTACTTACCCCTCTTCTCTCACTCACTCTCTTTCTTTCTCTCTCTCTCTCTCTCTCGATCAACCCCCCACCCCCACCCCACCCCCACTACTTCTTGATACGTTTCCTAGTTTATCTCTCAACCTTTCTCTCTTCTTCCTTCTTTCTTCCTCCCCTTTTCGTTCTCTGTACTTTGATCGAATTATCACTTGTAAGGATAACACAACAACTACACGCACCGTTTTTACTTTCGTAACAAATTGTTTACTTTCTCTTAACGTTTTTTTATAGCTATTATTAAAATAATTAATTATTCGTTCGCTTTCGACGTTATTACAACGTGTCTCACTTCGCACTGAAACGTCCACGTATCTTTATTAATCACGTAACACGTATGTCTAGCGAATTTGTTCTTTCTCTCTCAATCTACCCCTTTTAAAGAAAATAAGAGAACAGGGAAGAAAATTTTACCCGATCAACATAGTAGACGAAGGAAAAATGATTTGGTTCGTCTCATCCCGTCTATCGTCGTGACGCGTCGCGTCGTGTCGTGTCGCGTCGTGTCGCCTCGCCTTCACGTCGTCGAGTAAAATTTTCGTCGTCGAGCAACGTGTGTCCTCTTCTACTATCTCGTGCTCACTCGCGACGACGAGGACGACTCGACCGACCGGCAGTCAATGCCGTTGTCTTTCCTATACAGTATATATATATATATATACTTACGTACATGTAGTATATGTATATATATCTCTATATACGTGTATGCGTGCGTATATATACATATATATGTGTATATATGGCACCATAGCACGACAGACACTTTCCACCTCTACTTCTTCTTTTTCCCTTCCTACACTTCCTCGAAGTGGGGTGAATAATCGTGAAAAAGCACTGGCTGTTTGACGAGATACCTGTCCACCAGTACCAGGACTCTTCTGCTTTTGTTTTCTTTTTATCTTTCTCTTTTTTTATCTTTTTCCCTTTCTCTTTTAACCCCTAAAAGAGACGAGTTTTTCGATGACGATAACTGCTACGATAACTATAACGAACTATCCGTATTTACTATATTTGCTTGTTTGTTCGTTCATTCCTTTTTAACACCAAGAACAAATGTTTCACCTTCGTCGAATGAAGATAAAGGATATTCGAATTATTCGAGAAGGCTCTCGCTGTAGCAGCAGCAGCAGCAGTAGCACCACCACCACCACTACCACCAGACAACCACCACCGCCACCACCACACCACCACCACCACCTGCACCACTGCCACCACCACCACCACCACCACTACCACCACTTTCTTCTACTTCTTCTTCTTCAGCTTCTCCTCTTCTTCTTCTTCTTCTTCTTCTTCTTCTACTTCTATCTTCCTACTTCTTCTTCTTCTTCTTCGTCTACCGCTCGTTTCGTACCGTCTCTTACTACTCTCGAGCGCGTATATCAAAGTTTAGTTTTTATTAGCCTATCGGGCTGCAGCACACCACCGACGACGACGGCGACGGCGGCGACGACGACGACGACGACGAGGACGACCGAAGGTCCCGACGACCATACCAGTGCTCCGCAGCAATCAATACGCAACAATGGACCGGGACCAATAAGCTCGAAGCTTTTCCTGACGTAGAGAGACGCACGCTCTCCCTCTTGCGAGTCAAACCGAGTCTTCCTCTCCTCCCTAACCCATCGTCACCCCTACGACACACCGCATTCGCCAATCTACTTGCGGCTGAGCAGCTTTGAAAGCTCACCGTTTGGCGTCGCTAATCTCAAGCCCGCCAATACTCGAATTTACGCTTTCCATTGATTTGATAAAATGAACGCTTCCAATCTTTTACATTTACTTTTACATTGAAATATTCGAATTCAATAAATAATTCCAAAACTTACCGTCAATATTCTTCTCGTAAAAAGCAACTCAACTCGTTTTAGAACGTATTGTTATGTAACTCGATATTTGATCATTAAAGTGACTAATTAAATACCAGTTTCTTCGTATTATTTATCGTCACTTAATTTTTGTTAAATACTTAAGGGACAGATGTAAATAAGGCGATTATCGAAGGAATAATGAATTCAGGTTCGATGGTTTCGTAGACTTTCGTTTAACGAACATTTGGGGGGGGGGGAATTAAACTGTTGCAATTGAAATCGTTCGTTTTTGTTGCACAATGAAAAAAATATTAACATTTGCGTAACGAATCGACGAATCTAGCGCCCTCTCGTAGTCTTCAAGTTTCAACGAGAACGAGGATAAAAAAGGCGCTCTACGATTACCGACTATCTAAGGTGTTCGTTTGATCGATCTACGACATACATTTGATAATAATTTAAGATTATATAAGATCATGTAAGATATGTAAACGAAAACTCGTTTTCGTTTTATAAATCATAGATTACACCTAAGTAAAAGAGAAGATATCCCGTTAAAAGGTACGATAAGTCGTCGTCCATGATATTTTTTTCATTTTTATAAATACTGGTTTACTTTCCCTAGTATCTCGCCGATGTGAAATAATATGTCAAAAGTTATTAAAAGATTTATTGATTTATTACGAAATTGTTGTTATAGATTAGGCAAATGTCGTGTCATCATCCTTCCTGCCGTAAATGTAATTAAAAATATATATGTATATGTTAGATATAATGATGAGGCTTTGGTGTGCGAACCTACTCCATTCTCTTTCTCTTTCTCTCAGGTTCGTACACGAGGTCTTGCATCCATATAGGAAAGCTGAGCAGAGAAGGAAGATACCAAAGGCAAGAACGTCGTTCGAACTATCGCGCGGTGTCCTTGACACCGAGGAAGCTGCAATGGCGTCGCCCTCGACACTAGATGGGATTTTAATATCTTCTATACGGTATTTGATTGTAAGCTGGTCCATAGTTCGAATCGTCAGGTCCGGGTGGATTCGCTGCAAGCGCACGTCTTATGGCCTCTGGGATTGGGGGTGGCGTTGGTAAATGAGCACCCTGAGGACGGAAGCCATTTTCGTCTGCCACGTATTCCACTTGAATAGGTGTACCGTCGGGTGCCGTGTACGAGAATCTACCCTGCACCGCCTACACTCATACATCAAGCATGTTTTTTACTGTTCTTTTCTTTTTTATCAAGATCAAAAGTCCAATAATATATCTCGTATCTTCAAAAATGTATGTTTCGAAATTACCTCAGCTTGCTGTCCAGGACCACCACCTGCTTTAGGGCGACCAGTTTCCTGGGCTGAAATTCCATTTTCTGTCTCGTAGCTCCAGTTGTACGTGCCATCTGGGAAAGAATCGCGTTGCTGGCTACGAATTGCTATAAACCGACCACTGTACGGGCTAGAGTGAAGGAAATAAATGGTATTTACTTTATCTTCTTTTTTCAAATGTTACGAAAGGGTACCAAGGGGTGCCAAGAATGTTGGATAATTTGATCAGAATAAATTGTTAGAATAAAGTTTGAGAATACAAATGTTAGATACAGTTATAGTTTTAGTTGTATCGAGTTATGTGTTGAAAAAATCATTCGAAGAAAATGAAAGCATTTCAAATAAAAATCAAAAATATCATTTACCTGTTGTATTCCGGTTGATACTTCGGCTGTGGTTGATAACTAGGCTTTGGTGTCTGCGGGAAGAGATTTTGATTGAAACCTCTGAAACCTCCGAACTGCCCCAAGGCAGAGCCAACAAGAGCGAGGATCAGTATCTGCAATCAAGTAAGATATGAAGATAGAATAGTACGAAAGTGTAGGTACGTGATATGATTACAGTATGTCGATAATTTCTATGAACATGTCCACACTTCTCGACAGAGAAATAGTAAGAACATGGCAGTTTGAAAAGACACTCACTGTGTACTGCATGGCGATGATGATTCTCCACGGATCGTGATGCCGATTTGAAGAGTATCGAATCTGTGGCATCAACCACGAATATCGCTGGCATTTATATGAAGACGCTCAAGATCTTCCCTTCTCTCTGCTCCTCTAGACCACATCGGTGTCCATTCTCCTCTCTTCTCAAGCACGCAAGTCGTTCTAAGCGCCCTCGCATCCTCGCCCCACCTCAACCCCACGTTCGAGGTCACACGGATCCCGGAGTCATTTGTACTTACGTATATATATCTATGTTTTCAAAGCGTTAACATATTGTTATCGTTTAATAATCAATTCAATGTTATCTCCTATTATATTACCACATCAAGCCAATATGATTAAACGTGGAACGAAAATAGACAATTTATTTTAGAAAAAAAAAATAAATTTAAATGAACAATATATACGTCATGTACACTTTGGAGGATGATGGTTTTAACATTTTAAAAAATTCAAAAAAAGAGAGAAAAATTGTGACAGCAAATAAATAAGAGCATAACTACCTGCTGGAATAATAAATGAAAGTGTCAAGATATTATGTTTTGTCAATTCATAAACGCATCCGCGAAGGCGTACGATCACCAACGATGATTTCATTCCTGATATATTCATAATTCGCTCTCTGCTTTTCGCCATCCAAAGGCGTAAACGCATTGTTCTTAGGTGAGACCACTCCCAGAGAACATCGCTAACTCTGCTATCTACCTGTATCTTATACAGGACTGGTGTATGATCGTCTATAAGTCGTAATATTGCAGATGTCTTGGCTTAAAGGTAGATCGTGCTATATGTGAACAGAGTCTGGTTTAAATACGATTATCGTGAATTAGGTATTACTCCTTTAATAATTTGCTTATGTATGAACGCATACCAAATACTAATTACTTTGTTCTGAGAAGTTTTTGCATAACTAGGATCAAATGAAAACAACTCGATGATATTTTTCTCGTTTCATATCGAGGATTCCAATCGAACGTTAATAATCGAGCTTGCGAAATGTCCCTGATAATAATAATGAGAAAATATGCAATAATAAAGTAAGTACAATGTGTAGGAATTGACGCTTAATAAGTCTAACTAATTTCCAATCGAAATAGATAATAAATGATTGTAATTAAAATGAAACTTATGACAATGTTATCTGATTTTATTGATCATTTTATTAGATATTTTGTTCTGTAGTATTTAAGTTTCTAACCATATTACGTATGCATACATCATAACTATCCCATTGCGAACATTATCATTATTTTAATGAGATATAAGTTACGAAATCGATCGTTCGGTGTTTTCATCGTAAATCGTCCCAATTTGGGTAGAAACGAGAATAAAGATCGATGGATTCAATCGACTGGAAGGAAACGAAAGAAGAAGGCGGTACGTAAGGCAATTTAAGTTGGGCATTGAACGGCTAGGCGCGGATCGGTTTGCATAATTCTCGAGTAGGATGCTCGCCTGGGAGGCCCCCGAAGGTATGCCTTCTATCCGAGCCGTGGTGAGTCTGAAAGCTCACAACGATGACGAGGCATACCTAAGTCAATGTAGTTAATAAAACCAGAAAGGTCAGACCCGGTTCGAATAATTCTCCGAGACGCCGAGAGCATTCCGCGAGATCTAGAACCATCCTAGATGAGACAACAGGTTCGAAAGAGATCCTTGTTGATCCTTACAAAGAGTTTTCTTTAGTTAAAAGATTTTAAATTTATTTTCAGGACATCTCATTAAGTAAGAAAGTAAGTAAGATACTAGTTGATCATTAATTTAACAACAAACACGTGTTTTAAATATATTTTCTTGATCGTTGCAAGCATTACGCTAAACGCCTAAAGGTGATGCACTTAAATATACTGAATTCCAAATGGGACGAGTGTGTGGGATGAGGTGTCTCGATCTTCTCACGGTACAACTCGGGTATAAAATGGTGCACCTATAAATCAAGGATATTCCTGGAATTCTCATGAAAGTATGTAGATACGCAGTTATCGAATTTCTGGCGATAAGTCCCCTGAGAGAACACAATGTAATTTCTCGGATATCTCTTACCAAGATTCAAGATCACTGCCGACGCTCGCTGATCTTGCTACTTCCTTTCTTTATCCTACTTATTGTCCACGAAGTTAAGGTGATCGTCTATCTTTCCTTTCTCTCACTCTTTCTCTCTCACTCTCACTCATTTACTCTTTCTCTCTCTATCTATCTTTCTGTCTACTTTATCTCTAATCCTACTTTTCCTTATTCCTAAGTGTTCTATCAAAACTTTCGTTAACAATTCCGTGACCCGGCAGTTGACTTTCCACCTAATGTAAAAGTTACCATCTTTATGGCCGACTATCATTAGGATTATCATCATCATCATCATCATCATCATCGTCGTCGTCGTCATCATCATTGCAAAGGATCATCACTATTCCACGCTGCTTTATTCCCGTAACTCGGCGAATAACTCGCTAAAAGTTATTGTGCAATCATTCTGGCATTTCTGGCCGACTCCTCTCTTTGTGCTCTGCCCTTCTTTTCTTTCCGGTCCGTGACGAAAGCGAAAGGAATCCATCCTAGAAGATCCACGCCCAGTGGAGCCTAACTGTCAGCAATATCTCGACTCTTCTCTTTCTCTCTGTTTTTACGTGCAAGGATTCGAGCATCGTGATGATAATTAGAGCTTCAAAAGGTCGCTTGTATCGACATATCGTGCATCTAAATGATTAATCGATGGTTAATTGCACTTAACTCTAACCGTTGCTACGCCAATTTGTCGTAAGTCGATATATGTAAATATATTAGATCTATCTATTACCTTTCATAAATTCGTGTCCTGAATTTATTTTACTTTATTATCGTCGTATTAATTTTCAATAAAAATGACACGACCGAATTTCGAGCATCGATCATTCTCGTAAAAGTAAATTGAAAAATAAAAAGAAATAAAGGAAAAATTATGAAAATCACTGAAAGGTGTTGCGGTCGATGAAGTTATAGTCATTTTCGTGACAGGATACGACTCGCCCAGGTGTCCATCGATCTCCTTGACCGATATATCCCTCGTGCGCAAAGATCAAAACGTTTCACGATTGTATGCAAAATATCGATTTCGTCTATCGGCCATTCTAACAATACCATCGAGCTGACAGCTCCTTCTGCTTCCTTTTCGATTGTGTCACAGAATGGAAAGCACTACGTGACATCCTGACCCCAATGTCAAAGGCGCGGTTTGACATCCCCGGTCAGTTAACATACGTTTCGTGAGAGACTGACTCGTATGTATTTACTACATCTTTCGCCAGTCTTGCTAACTCCTTCTTGTATCATAAATTTCATGATTTCATTTATCTTCTAACAGGTACCACTTATGTAATATTAACAATAAATGTATACGTAATAATTCGTTTCCCTTATCATTCTTTTATTAAATTAAACATTAATAATAGATATAGTCTTAATGTTTATCACCATTAAATTCCTCATCAATCATAGTCTTAACTAATATAATACAAATCTATCAATTTGTCATTCGTTTGATGAACAATTGTTAAGGTATTCAAGGTTAAACATTACATCGTATTATTGAGATAAAGATCAGCGGCGAGAAAATAGAATCGTAAAATTCATAGTAAAAGGATCTCGATGGTACTTTCAAACTTTCACGGCTTTCGTGAATGCCTCTTAAGAGGTGCCAGAAACGAAGTTCCAAGCTGTTCACGGTGAAAATGTTAAATCCTGGGATGAGCCAGAGTCGTCCATTCGGTCGACCGTTCGTTCGTTCGTTCGGTCGGTTAGTTGATCGTTGTGCAACGCAAAGAGGAGGCCGATGATTTGCTTTCACTGACTCACCTTTAAACGTGATATTACGATTACCATTAACATTAACTACGAGTGGCATTTCGAGTTGGTTTCCTAAAATTTAACGCCTCCGTAATAACAACGATTTAATTGATAGCTAGGTTAGACAGCTACCAGTAGGTTGCTCGCTTATTAATTGGTCAAACCTAAGTTCTTCTGGTATTATAAGTAACAGGTACGAAAAGATATAACTCAATTTCAAGTCGATTGCATGTATTTATCATCGTCTAAAGACACAAGCGGTTACATTCTATTAAAAGAACAATAATAGCGCGCGTTAATTTGACGTTTTATCGTCTAGATAAATCTGAAGCAGCTCTTCTCTAATCGTAAGTGATCTCTCCTCTTCGTATCGTATCCAGTAAACTGTCTCTTTATCTCTCTTTTTCTCTCTCCTTCTCTTGGTTTTTTTTCTTCCTATTTGGATTTCGCTAGCATCGATTATTTCGTCAAAGGAAATTACATTAAACTTTTTCACGCTGGATCGATCACTTAAAGATACAATTTCCTTTCTTTTTAAACATCTAGATGTTACGTTACGATAACATTGTCCTTTATCTTTCCAAATAAATCTTTAGTTCTAACAGATCATTATCCAAATAATTTTCGTTGTGATTTAGTCTCTAATGGAATTTACCTATTTGGCTTTCCACTCGAAACGAACTGACGAGTACGTATGTCAAAAATAGAAATTGCAAAAGAAGAGAGAAAAGGAGAGAGAAAGAGAAAAAGATAGAAAGAAAGAAATAGAGAAGAGCAATAAGGAGCATAATTTAAAACGTTAAATAAAGGCAATCCTCTTTGATCCTTCTCATTCAATTTCCTTACTATTCTTCTTTATCTATCAACGTGGAGGATCGAATGAAAAGGACAATTACGCATTTGTAGATGTTACAGGCAGTTCCTTGTGATTTTTATAGTTAGTGTCTTAGCAAAAGCTAGCTGGTTTAGAAAATGATATACCCTCAAAGAAAAAGAAGGAGAAGAATAAGAATAAAAGACTTCGTTCATCTTCGTTGACAATAGCGAACGAATCGTCCTGATACTCGTGATAATCGTAAAGAAACGATAAAAGTAATATAATGAAAAAAAAAAAAGAAAAAAAAAATAAGAAAGAAAAAAAAGAATAAGAGAAAAGGAGAAAGATGTGGAAGAGAAAAATAGAATAGAAGTCGATAAACATAATGTCATGTCTAGTATCTCCTGTAAGGCTCCTCCTCCTCGGGATGAGCCGCGTTGTAGCTGAGGGCTCGTTGGATGGCAGGTGGAATGGGCGGAGGTGTAGGTAAGTGAGCACCGCTCGCTTGAAAGCCGTTCTCGTCTGCGGTGTAAGTGACCAATATCGGGGTACCGTCTGGTGCTGTATAACTATATTGACCTCTGACCTCTTCGATTTGGGCTGGACCAATATTCTTTGGACGTCCTTGTTCTGCTACCGAGATTCCATTTTCGGTGTCGTAACTGAAAAAACATTTTCAATTTAAATCGAGAATCTTGTGTTTTACTTATTTGTGGGATCTTACTTAGATTGTTTGGAGAATCGAAAAGCACGTCTTTCGCTTTTTATACTATTTTGGATCACTGAGATATTCAGGACCTTTAGGTTTTACTTACTCACGAATGTCTACTTAAATTAGGAAAGAAGATGTTTCGTCTTTATATATTATTTATAGGTATATACAGGATGTTAAGAGTTGTTCAGCTTTGAGAATACATTCTATTAAATTGGACATAAAAAAAAACAGAGTTTTTATTATCAAGAACAATAATAATTGCTGGAAAATACTATAACAAGGATTTCCGTGAAACGGGACTACCATTGATGATATGTCATACACAGGATGATAAAAATCTACAGAATAATAAACGCGATTATGTAAAACGAAGAAGTTCGGTTTCTTGCGGATGTCGATAATGATTTTAGTAGAAAAATAGATTCCAATTATTGACATGATTCTTATACACAAAAAATAATAAAACTGAGTAATTTTAATCCTTCAAGAAAAAAAAATGCAAAATTATGGGAAAAAAATAAGATTGGAAAAAGAAACGGGTAGGGGTTGTAAAGGACGAAGAAAGAAAGTTAACGATAAGAAGAAAAAGAAGATAATTGCCAAGTTTGAGGTACAAAAAGAGAGATGTCGGTAGATCTGTGAGGCGTCACACAAGGCAGGTGTCATGGGAGGTGTCTGAGAAGAGTTAGATGCGATTTTACAAAGACACGCGAACAGCCAGAGTGTGGCTGCGGATGGGACGGAAGGTGGACAGGTAGGTAGGTAGGAAGATAGGTAGGCAGATACGTAGGTAGGTAGGTCGATTGTAATTGTTCGATTGCGCAATCCGTTATTGCGAACTGCGCAGGCGATTAACATGGACGATTAACATCGAAGTCAATTAGCTATCTTTCTCGAGCGTGTACATATGCAATGATTCGGTGGCTGTATCACGATGTTGCTTCTCGTGTTTTACTAGGATTCCTCCACGTCGAAGAAAAAGTTCGATCAATTCTTTCACATCTAATTAGATGGATGATGCATAATGACGTTTAATAGTTTGAAAACGAAAAAAAAAAATGAGAGAAAGAAATGTTTCATGTTTTTTTTCGTATTCGAAATTTCGTAGTTCAATCGTTCTCATTCTTTCGAAGGCCAATTCTTGGTTGTGCTCATCGGAGCCGAAAATCGTGGTATGATCGGAAATAAAAATGGAGGCGAACGTGCTAACGAGCACGATTACATCTTCGACGCGTGACGAGTAGTTTATAATACGCGCGAATTATCCCGTTTATATGTAGGTATATACGTAATTTCAAGAGGAAAGAGCAACCGAGATCCTTCGACCGTGTCGAGATCGCTCTTGAGGAAACGAAACAAACGGACGAACACCTCGGTGCCGTTTATCGATGGAAGGACGGACAGACTTACCTGTAGGAGTAAGATCCGTCTGGTGCTGTGTCTTTCGATTGTCGCAATATGGCGATATGTCTGCCGTAGTACTCGGGGTTGTATGGATATCTGTTGTATTGTGCATATGACGCCACCGTCAGACCGAGTAATAGCACCTACAAACGTTTAAAATACAAACAATCTCAAGCGTGTTAAAAAGAAAAGTTGGACATGGTCAGTGTTGAAAGTTCAAATTTGTGGCATATTTTCCAGTAAAATAAAATTCTTAAAAAATAAGATCAAAATAAGCTTTTTACAATATCCATTTCAAACGATTTTTACTTTAAATTCTAGTTTGTTAGAGATAATTTCTTTTTATTGATTCGATTATAAAATTACATTGGAAGCTTCTACTTTATCCGTTCATATAATCAATTTCTTTAAATAAGACGCAGGACAAGCGTGAATAATCTGCGCGTTAGTCACGATCGAAAGGATGTTCCTCAGGTAAAATAAGGACACAAGTGGGACGATTGGAACGTTGAAAAAGTTTTGATCTTTATGGACTGTCGGCGCGTTTATGAATAATAATAAGCATAACCGGGAACTGCGGTTTCTTCACTCGCGGTCATACCGCGAATGAATATGCGCGCGGCACGTGTCGCCACGGCGCGTTCTTTTGATATGCCAATTAGTAGCGCGTCCTACGGTTTTTAAACGATACCTTTAACTAATATTTTAACGATTTATCGAACCGCAAAAATTTGCGTTATCGTTAATTACTACATAGATATCGATGTTCTCTTATGTTGACCTTTTGTTAACGAGTTAAAGTTATGAAATAAAGTAATACAATTGAAATTGATAATTTAACAACGAGCTTACAACATCGTCCATTAAATCCAACCAAATAGAAATTTAATTAGTATAAACCAAAGAAATTTTATTGATAAAAACAAAAATAGATGATAATCTTATTTCACTCACAAGGATCTTCATAGTGTCTTCGTAGATCCGTAAGAAATAACGGAAAAAGTAAAATTAAAATGGTGTGTAAGACGACGAAGTGGTTAAGTTTGACAGACTCAAATTACTCGAATTCACGTTTATTGAAACGACGATGAAGAGATTTATGTGTTACACAGAGTGGTTCTAAGCACTGTCGAAGATTACAGTGGCCAGGTTGGTCATGATGAGGTTTTATAGTCAACGTCGCATTCTCCTTCTGGACTACCATCCGCCCCGCCACAGAGACAACGATGCTTAACGAGAGGTTGAAGGGGAGAATTAATCTTCGAAGTGTTCGTGTAATTCAAAGAAGCCAGTTGCACTTAAAAGATGGCACATTCCCTCCTTCTTTCCCTTTCCTTCCCTTCCCTACCCTTCCCTTCTTTACTCGAACTATTCCGTGGGCCGTATTTGCCCCTCCCGCGAATTCGAGAAGATTTGCCTGACTTAACCTGACCTTTCGTACCTGCGATACGATAATAATTATTACTTATACTCGAACTCCGTCCTTTATATGATCAGAATTTTTTCCTATGACTACCTTATTCTCATTTCTCTTTCTATTTATCTGTCTATCTATCTATCTATTAATGTAGTTATGTAAATACATTTACATATTTCTACTTATATGTGTAAGTAAGTATATTGTGCCTACATTTTATATGGGAGATAAGGACACGTCGATGGTGCGAAGGAATTTTGCTATCTCGTAAGACTATCTATTGTTAAAGTATTCTTTCAATATTACACTATCCTCCCCTAGTTTTAATAATTTTACAATTCAATTGTATCGAGTTTCTTTCCTTTTTTTGTTCGTTTCTTTAATTTAACAATTATAGTTGCAGAATTCAACTATATCTATGATCTGTCTCTTTCTCTCTTTTTTTTTGTTGGCCTTTTTCATTTCGCATTTATTGTTGTAAAATAATGTGATAAAAAATAGGCAGAATGTTTAACTGATATCATCGATTTTATATTATCAATCATTGAATGTTGATATCGTGTATGTCAGTTTACCTTTTGCGTGATCGTCAAATTAAATACATCTAATCGAATATGTCTAACTAATAATGGTACGATAAAAGTATACGTCGATGTTTTACTTAAACTGATCATTATCTTCTGCCCGTTATAACATATCTCGTAACACATCGAGCAAGACGACCTCGCCATGGGATTCAGATCGTCAGATGTACTACGGATCATCGCAGGGCGTATTCCTTTCACTGTTTGCTACAACTTGCCGAACAATTAACATTATTGTGTCCGGGTATACTTACGACATTTTGCATTTATATTTTTATTTTTATTTATGAGAACATAACAATGACATCATTTTTTTTCTTTATATGAATGCAGTTAAAAATTTTCGAATTTTTCTGGTGTACCTATAGACGTTGTTTACATTTTCTCGCAAAATCATACATTTTATTTATTCTCGCAAATTTTTAATATTGATTGCATCTGTATTTTCTATAATAATAATGCTACTCTTAACAATTAATTGTATTTAATTATTATTACTTTTTTAAATAATTAATTATATTAGTTAATAAATGGGAATCAATTATTATTGATCTATACAAGAATCTATTCCTAAAGATCTATATTGAAGTCGATAAAACAGGAATCTACTAGTAGTAAGTAGTGTTAGGTCAGTGAAACAGGATTCAGTTTTTATCGACTAAAACTATTTGACCAGTAAAACAGTTTTCTATTATATCAACGATTATTTCATGAGATAAATAGAACAGTTCTCTGTTCTACTCCGAATATAAGATAAAAAGTTTGACTACAATCTTTGGTGATTTCTATGGGGATAAATGACCTAGAAGAAAATAAGTTCATGATGTTAGCATGATGTTAGCAATGCACCTCTTTTTAGTGATTTCTAACAAATCAAAAAAGAGAACTAGACGATGGAAGCGCCATCATGTGGACATTTAAACTTGAATCCGCTAGTGAGTGGTGTAGGGTCTCTATGTAGGAAATGTTTTCAACCGTTTAACTAAATATTTAATTTGATTTGTTACTGTTGGAAATATTTAATCATTCTAATGTTAATAATTATAAATTATTAAGATAGTAAATTGTGTTGTTAACAATGAAAGTAAAGGTTTTATCAAGAAATCCGGATGAATATTTACGAGAAACCAAACGTGATATTCACAAACGTATGTATCATTTGTGAACATAACCTCTAATATACATAAAGCATGCAGAAAAAATTAATAAATGAATTTTTTGAATGTTTAGTTCCTAGGAATTATGATCCATCGTTACATCCTTTCGAAGTACCAAGAGAATATACTAGAGCTTTAAATGCCGTTAAATTGGATAGAGTTTTTGCTAAACCTTTCATAGGTTGTTTAGAAGGCCATAAGGATGGTGTATCAGCTGTTTGCAAACATCCTTTGCGTTTATCAGTTCTTCTTAGTGGTGCCTATGATGGAGAGTTGAAAGTATGGAATTTATCTGATAGAACAGCAGAACGATCTTTCATAGCCCACGATGGCATACTTCGTGGTATTACATTCACCCCGAGTGGACAGCATTTCATGACAATCGGTGATGATAAAACTATAAAGACATGGAAAGCTGAGAAACCATTGTTCGGTGAAGAAGAAGAACCTGTTAATACCATTATTAGCAAAGTAAATAATCATAATTTCTTTTTATTCAATATTCTTCGTTATTGTTATTATACCAACGAAATTAATTATAGTCCCAGTTAACTGGTATATCACATCATCGAAAAGATCCAGTTTTTGTTACTTGTGGAGATACATGTCAACTTTGGGAAGAGACAAGGAATGAACCAATACGTACTTTCAAATGGGGTGTTGATAGTTTACACGATGTCAAGTATAATCCAGTACAAAAAAATTTGTTAGGTGAGAACATGGTAATATGTACTTGCTATAAATCTAATGGAACATATCTAAAATAATATTATTTCATTATTTTCTAGCTGCTTGTTCTAGTGATCGTAGTATTATTTTATACGATGCCAGGGAAACCGGTCCATTACGAAGAATTGTTATGAGATTACAAACAAACAAACTTTCTTGGAATCCTATGGAAGCCATTACTTTCACATGTGCCAATGAAGATTATAAGTGAGTCTCGATTGAAATATACAAATTGTTTAAATATATTATACTTTTATGCTAATATTTTTCTTTAATCTTTTTTTATAGCTTGTATACTTACGATATTCGTTCATTAAAAAGTCCAGTTAATGTACACATGGATCACGTAAGTGCAGTAATAGACGTAGATTACGCTCCTACTGGTAGAGAATTTGTTTCTGGTAGTTACGACAAATCAATTCGTATTTTCGAAGTTGATAAGGGACATTCGCGAGAAGTTTATCATACGAAACGAATGCAAAGGCTCACGAATGTGGCTTGGTCTCTTGATAATAAATATATAATTAGTGGTAGCGATGAAATGAATCTTCGAGTATGGAAAGCTAGGGCGTCAGAAAAATTGGGTGTGGTATGTAACGATTTTCTCTTATAATTTTCTTTTACTTTTTTAACATAATCTTTTAGTATCTGCGATCTTTATTTTTGAAACTATAGCTCAAACCCAGGGAAAAAACGTCATTGAATTATTCCAATGCGTTAATAGAGAAATTTGCGGCTCATCCACAAGTACGTCGTATTGCTAGACACAGACAAGTACCGAAACATATTTATAACGCTCAAGCTGAGATACGAACTCTTCGTGAAAAGAGTAAACGAAAGTATGTTATTCAAAGATTCCAAAGTTTTGTTTTTATTTTTATTCTTGATGGAATAAAACAATATTTTATTTTTTGTTGTATTACAGGGAAGCTAATAGACGTGCTCATTCAAAGAAAGGAGCAGTACCGTTTGTACCGGAAAGACAAAAGCATATTGTACGACAAGATGAATAAGGTATATAATATTTTCATCTACAATTTGTACAATGTATAGAATTATTTATAATTTGGACTCGATTTTTATCAATAAATAACGATAACGCAAAGTGTTTTATTTTTTTTGTTCTTTATAGAAAATATATTTAAATTGTCTTATAATTGTAATCGAGGATAGAGAATTGTCTCTAATTTTTAGGGGTATGGTTTAATATATATTTTTTTATAACTTCACATTGTTTATTGCAATAAATAATTTTATTGAAATTATACAACGCATTGTTATAATGATCCGTAAATCATTACAAATCTTAAGCATCGATTAATGTCTTGCTTAGTGTAGCTTACAGCGGTTTAATGATTTTTCTCGATCGTTCGTGCGATTCTTTCGCGAATATTTCAATGTTATTAATCAATTGGCGATAAGTAGGTCATATATATTTATGCATATATATTATTTTCGTTCATCGAAACTTGCTTTCTTGTTTGTAAATAAAAAAGAATTACGAATAACAAATAAAACGAAAATATTATGTTTCAATATATTTCGTTGATTTTTACGTGTCAGGTCTCGTCGTGGAATTTATGAATTAAATGCTAAATTAAACGAATTATTTCAAATTATAAATTCGTTCGAACGATTTGATAAACTAAGTGTTAGGTATTCGAATGAGATTATTTCTTTTTATTCAACTATAGTTCCGATGATAACGTATATAACGAACGTTGTTTTATTACAGACAATTACTTCATATGCCATACTATATTCGCCCTTACAATTATTACAATTATCGTTTCGGTACTCGTTGATGATCGATACAAATGGAATTGATTTCCTTTTTTTTCTGGCGTACAAAAGATGGCACGCAATTTTGCTTTTATTTATTTTTTATTAATCGTAATCCTCTGCTTTCTTCTTTCTTGTATTCTTTTTTTTATCGGTCGATATCACACGTGCGCAATTATATATTTATAATAACACTAGCTACGCTCACAACTTCTGTACAAGACTAGGTTAGTCGAGCGATTAAAGTAGCACTATAATTGTGTCCTTCGATTCTAAAAATGTTCCGTTTTTTATTTATTTATTTTTTATTTAAATTACTTTGCTTTTCTTTTTTTTTTCTTTTCCCGAACTACTTTGCGACTACTCCCTTCTCGTGTATCTTTTTTTTCTTCTTCTCTTTTTTTTCTCTCGTTGCTCTCACTTTGACTCTTTAATTAATTAAATTATAAGCTGCTTTGCGCGTAACGATAATTATCATCTATATACATATAAACACATTTACATTCATTTGATAACGTACTATCGAGCCGCACGAACATCAATATGGCATTAATACCGAGCCACTTTCCAGTCAATATCGAACTCACCGTTTATTTAATTTCTTATTTCTTTTATTCTTTTTCTCTTTCTTTTTATTTTATTTTTTTTTATAATATATATATTTATATTTATATATTAAAGGGAACACTCGAGTATGTTATCAAGTTACACACATCCATACATTACAATTAACTTATTACAAGTTATTCCAGTAGTTCGACAATCTTTCATATTCTCGTTTTCTCCTAAAGCGTACATCGTCTAGCTTGACTTTGATCGATATTCGTAATGTACTTTTTGATTATAACGTTTGTTCGATCGTCGTTGAGAGCCTGCTTCGATGAAGAAAAAAATAAACTCAGAAATATATGTATGATATTTAATAATCGATTTCTACGTTAGAATTAAATGTTAAATTTTCAACCAAAATTGAAAGGAAATTAAATTAACGAGAAAAGCTTTGACCGGAATCGTTAATTTGTCAGACTTTATCACTTTTATTTAGTCGAGAAAATTTCTCTTTGAAGTTTCATCGATCGAGGCAGACTTTACGACAAAATTGCTTTCGAAGCGCACAACAGCAACCAACAACGTGTCGTTCTTTCTTTCTCTCTCTCTCTCTCTCTCTCTCTCTCCCTCTCTCTCTTTTTTATTTTCCTCGCGTGCGCGCATCGATTGACTTTTGATTTGCACACAATTTTCTGTGCTATTCGCTTAAATTATATTTATAGTCATATAGATTATTTGATCACTATCGACGAACTTGGAACGTTGATATTCAATCGTAAAGAAAAAAAAATGTTCACAATTAAATACGGCTTCAAATCACACGATGTCACGATGTCATTTACCTTTGTAATACTAATCTACTTTCATTGCGATATCACGTAGAATATTTATTTTACTTTTCATGGTTTTATCGTCTTCACAGGTAAACACAGTTGATAGATATCGTTCCTTACGATCCCGATTAAATAGCGTAGGTTTTATATCTTACTTTTCTTTCTGTACATAGACTTTTGTGGGAGTATTTCGTCCTCATAAACCCGTTCGTTTGAAAGGTCGACACACGATGTCGTCCATCCTTCGATGTTATTATGAAACACGGTCACGTAATGCATGTTTCTCTATCTTCCTCTTCCTTTCTCTATCTTCCTCTTTCTTTCTTTCTTTCCTTCTTTCTTTCTTTCTCTTTCTAGACGTTCAGATCGGCCATCATTTTGCGAAAATCCGCGAGCGTGTTGTAATCCGGATCCGAGTCGATGTCCGCGAAATCCTTGTTCGAGTCGCTCTTCACGAAGCTGGGATTGTATCGGCTTAACGACAGTGGACACGGCAACAACTCTGGCATTACGGAATGGTGGGTTATCAGGGCTGTCAGCGTTGTGAATTCTTTCGTAAAGCCCTGCAACAGACACGAAACGATGCTTTGTCTTTTACTCTTTAATACATTCATGGTACATTGTTGCACTCGTATGGAAGCCGAGTGATAAGGCTACTTTCGTGTTCATACGTAAATACACATATATACATGCATACGTGTATATATATATATGAACGATGTTATATAGTATTGTTGTAGTACTACGTACGAGTTGATGAAAATAAACTGATCTGTCATATTAATTTAACTTTCGTTTTTAAACACGTGAGAACATATTTGTTTAACGAATTTATTTAGATTCCTATTATATCGAGCTTTGATTTAATTAGGTATTGTATTATACATACAATATTACTATCAAAAAGTTTGAAATTATTTGCTGACTTTTGTAAAAATAGAATATATTGATAATTTTTGATATGATCTAACGTTATTAAATATTAATTTTTAAAAAAAATTTAGTATTTACTTTTATCTCTATCTTCGAAGTTATGGCTACATAGTTTGGTACACAATGTACATCGAAATTTAAATTTAATTTTTATCTCTTTTTTGTTGTCGTTTTTATTTGAACAAACTCTTTTATGCAACAAAGTTAAACGTTAAAGCGAAATATCTGTCTCTTTCTCTTTATACAAGAAAGTCATGAGAGGATTTACCTTATTTACCTAACAGTACTGGAGGATAGTTAATCGTTATCGCGGGATACGATACACATATATCGTTCATGTGTGTCAAAATTATTAGGAGAAAGGTATACATTTGGTTCTCGCGACGTGTTTCTACGAGAATGCAATTTCACGGAGAAAGAGAAGGGAGAGAGTTTTGATTTCCCCGCGGTACATCCAACAAAACTCATTCATACTGGTTTCGGGGATTATCAAAGTCCGCAGACCCATTTAATTTATCCCTACAAGGGAAGTTCAGCCATTTAAATAGGGATATTCGTGCGAGAAAACACGCGAGAGAGAACCGCGATGGTTTTGTTCTTCTTCTGTACCATCCCTATTATGATATTTATAAAATTGAGAACATTAATGCACGTTAATAACTTGTAAATAATTTTGATTATTCGTCTACTCAAAAATAACTACTTTGAAAATCGTTAAATATTTATTTACGTATGCATTTACTTTTTTTTCGTTTTTTTTTTTCGAAAAATTATTTGGGTCAATTGAGTGTTCGAAATAAAAAAAGTATAAAGAAAGAAAAAGAAGGGCTTGGAATAAACAAAATATATCAGTGTATTCGTTGACGTCATCTTGTTTACGAATACATTTCTAAGGATTTGCGTGGGCGAACGATTCAATGGTTCGCTTCGTTTTTCATAACAGCAACAAAATGGCGACTACTCGCGAATAAACTACTCTTGAACGAACAAGGGCGGCTAGAACTTTTTTTTTGTATAAATTATATAGGTCAAAGTCGTGTGGATTCTGTTTTACAAATGTAAATGCATCCACATTCCATGAAGTATTGAATATGTATATGTCTCTTTTCTGTCTGTACATATATACACGTGTAAGTGCGTCATCAGAGAATTCTATGTACAAAGTGATGGTTCATTATCGTTCCCTCTTTCTCCCACTCTTTTCAGCAGCATTTTTAATGTAGTCGGGTAGATGTTAATTTACGTTAATGAACAACTTTCGTTATGGAAAACATCCTTGAAGAAAAATCGATCAAAATAAAAAGTATAAATCTTTCGAAAATAAATCACTTTATTGCAAATTTCTAGGTTCTTCATTTTCACTCTCTTCTCTTTCTCTTTTTCTCTTTTTTTTTAGAAAGAAATAATGAACGTGGAGGACTCGGGAATGTTATGAAGGCATAAACCTTGAAAACTCGTTTAACGAAATGGCTTTTTTTAGATGGATATAATGGATGAAGGATTTTAAAATAGTAACGTGTTGAATTGTTAAGTTAAGAAAATAAAGAAAACCAAGAAAAAAACGGAAGTAAGATAAGGGAAAAGCTTGAAAAGTAAAAGGACAAAAATAAAAAAAGAGAAATAGTAGGAGAGAAAAAGAGATTTACCTTAATTTTGTAGCCTTTGTTAGTTCGCATTATGAGATAATGGGCGATTCCGCTTGGTTGAAATTCACGCGGTACTCGGAGCGAAAGGGCGTAACATCCGGGTTTACTGGTACTCTCTCGTACCATGAAGGCTCCTTCCGGTTCCTGGCTCAACACTTCCAACGTTATTTCCCTGAAATCATAAATGGTTGGAGCACCGTTTACGAGTTGTTAGTTGTGATTGTTGTGAAAATATCAATTTCTTTTCAAACACGAGAAATTTTATTGCCAAAATTAATCGATGATATTGTAGATTTTTTTTTATTAATAATTTATAGTTAAATATGTGTAGATACGTGTTGCGTGTAGATGATTAAAAAGAAAATAACCAAAAATTACAAGTATTTTGATATTAACCTCGGTATACCAGCTTGGAACCAAGGTGCTTTACGTAGTTCAGCTTCCTCGCTACGATTATTCAAACTGTCCGTTCTCTCTGGTAAAGGAGGAGGTGTTGGGGTCGAGCCATGGGTGCTCCCGTCTGCTGGTACCGAACTACTTGAAGTACTAATTTGCGATCTTCTTTTCGATTTAAATTCTGTTTCCGTTCCCGAACTTGGTGAATTATGTCCTATCCTGTAAACAATTCCCGTATTATTTAATTTATCCGAACAATAATCTTAAGAGAATATATATTTGAAAACAATAATATAATAATATAATTTATAAACACAATCAAGAAAAAAGATGTCAAATATAAATTGAAATAATAATAATAATAAATAATAAAATAGATTATTGAAATAACGCAGACCTGTTATTTTCGATGTTAAAGTTTTTGGCAGTAATGGAAGCATTGATGGTGTTATCGATGGTCTCGGAAGGTTGTATCTTATTATAAGACGGCCTCGTGCCTTCAGAGTCGATGATCGCTTCGTTGATGTAGCCACCGGAATGTGGTCTGTTTGAGGGGCTAGTTGGCGTGCTGCTACCGCTTACGAGCGGACAGCTGTCGTCTTCACCATTTAATCCGAGAACGTCGCGCCCACCAGTTAGGCCCATCGCCAGACGCTTTATCAGCGGTGGCTTGTCCGTCAGTCTCTTATACGAGTTCAGCTCCGTTGGCGAGTTACTCTCATCGCTACTTGGCGTACTCTGCTGCGAAATACTTTTCGGTTCATCCTCGTTCGTTATCGGACCGAGGACGTTCGTAAAATTATGCGACGGCCGTAGACCCGGGATGGAATTTGGTGTCTGTTACAAAAAAAAAAAAATTATTTTTTTTTGAAAATAATTTTATTAATATTTATTTGAGACATCGAATTAATTTTAAGTGTTTTTAATGTGTTTAATATAATTAAATGATATATTCGAATAGATGGTTAAAGTGACAGGGGTGCTAATTTTACATGTTAAAATAATAAATTAAAAAAAAAAGGAATAACGATAACTCACGCAAATACACACTCATATGAATAAATTATTGAACATTGATTTACATATACATGATTTTAATTAGATTTAAGATAAAAGTCTATTCTGATCTGTTCTTTAAAATCACACCTCTGTGTACATATATGTCGACGATTCGAATATAAACAGTTATTTATAATATACTCGCCTGTTTTCTTCGCATCGTTATAACAGTTAGACCGACAGAGACGAACTAAACGTAGGAGAAATAAGTCGCGCGGTCGATGGCAATTTATAAACATCATAGAGGGCAATGAATACGAATGCGTTAACGAAATGAAATGTTAGTTTTTCATTAGTTATAGAATAACTAACACGAGTAGGCGTATTCTTGCAAATTTTTGAACACGTTTTTCCCAAATATGTAGCATTAAACATGCAAGTATTACTTTTTTATTTAAACTTATTGTTAGATATCTTTACGATTAGCATCACTCTTAATGATGGTTATATAAATTTATTTAAATTCATTCATATTGTTGGAATGTAATCATTTAGCGAAAATAGATCATCGTCTAACATTTTTGCAAATTTAAAAAAAAGTAACAATAGACTCAAAATGCATCTTACGTGTGTTGATGAGCGGTTATGAAAACGTCAAAGAATTATTTGATAGTCACGTTCGAGTAAATCGCGATAGTGGAACCAGAGTGGGAGGGGGTGATACCTTTGTTAGAAAGGAAATAGAGTTCGGGCACCCACCTTTACGCTGGCTAGTCGCAACGTGGGCGAGCCGGCGCTGCCGAGCTGTACGTTCATGTCCGCTGCGGACGAACCGCTTCCAGTTCTGGACGTGGGCGACGTCCGACTTTTCAGCCACGAATTCGAGGACGAATTCCTGCAGCCGCCTCCACTCCCGGCGATCGAACTGTCGCCGGACAAAGATTTGTTCTGTTGGCAACCAAAAAAATATATTTTCTTATTAAACAGAGTCTAAACAAGAATTTTTCGATTTTTTTTTTGTAAACGCACGAATGAAATAACGCGTAGGTAAAACGTTGATTCGATCGACCTTGATAAACATAAAAATTTATTAGAGTTTTTTTTTTATTAATGAATACAGGTCTATTTAAATGGAGAATTGTTTTCAAATGATTTAGTGTTAGTTTGTTGTTGTTAATTGGTTAAATAGTTAATCGTTTAATTCAATTTTGGAATTTAACTTTTTTTTTTATCGGTGATTCTCAACGAAGAACGTTTTAGTTACATTTGTTTATTGTTTACAAAAGAATTCTCATATGAATGAGGTAAATTGTGTTTGAGAGAGTACGTCATGGGAGATAATAAAATAATGAAATGAGAAAGAGAGTACGATTTTACGGTACTTCGCGAGGAAATCAACTCGGTTGTATGAATAATTAAAGAGTCAGAGAAATTTACGTGTCCCTGGGAAAACACAAAAGTCCTACGTGAAGAAAGAAAGAAAAAGATTGAAAAAAAATAAAAAGAGTCGATAAATTTTTCAATGTTTGGACGTGAGGAATACAATCCTCGCAGTTTCATCGTCTCGTCTGTTGTGTTGGTAGTAGTCGTTGTCTGGGAAGTTTACTTGCCAATCACGAATTCGGAAAAGTCTCGTGGTCAAATCAAAGAAAGAAACGTTATGGGCAGCATCCATTGACTGAACGTGAACTCATAAAACAAATACTCAAATACTCGTGGATCGTTTCGAAATCTGACGATTCCGAGGAAGAAATTGTCCCAGAGAGAAGAACCGGATAGGCCGCGAGAAACGAACTGACCGTTTTATTCGGAAATACGACGCTGCCGTGGGACTCGGCTCGAATTTATAATTAACGCGGTCGCCTGTAAATGGGACACCTACTGGAGTCAGTCGTGCTCTCGGAAAAGAGAGAAAGATAGAGATACATGCATTCGGTACGCTTCGATTTTCATGAATAAAATCTTCTCTTATTAATAAATATCTGAATGGACATTTTTTTACTTTAATTTTTTGTTTTATTTAAATGCACGTGCTATTTTTAATTTGTCGCATCAAACCGTAGGTAGACATACCTAATTTGTAGGCAATTCATTGATATGATTATTTATAATTAAATAAATATAACGTCTTATTTTGGATTAATATAAAAGAAAGTATTTTGTGAAAGAGCAGAAAAAGTAAATGTTTTATTTTATTCTTTCGTATTTCGAATTGAGAGATAAAAGAATAAAAAGAGTAGGTAACCTACCCAGGAAGTTCGATGTTCCTGTTTGTCCTTGCGATAGTGTGGTGAGGATTGCGGCGAGATTACATCCTGAAGGATCGGTTGGCGCTGGAGCTGCGCCACGTACGCCATACGAAAAGCATTGCCGACTATGGTGTTCAATTCTTCCGCCTGTGAACAGAGATGAGTGGATAAAACTTAATTGATGAACTATCTAAAATTACTTTTTATCATAACTATGGTAATAAATATATAATTTATTATATTATTTTTTCTATTCTTTAAACATAGTAAAAAGAAGTATTCTATCGTAACTATTTTTTTAAATTACTGTCATTACAATAACATTTTCATAAACTTTACTACAATTTCAAATCATACGGAAACATTTATTTTTACCATTATAGTTTCGACTTCAGGTAGATGATTTGTAAAATTAAGAAAAAGTAACTTACATTTCGAAATAAATGTGTTCACATTCGAGCTAGATCATTAATTAAATATTTCAATAAAAAAAGGAAAACAAAAAGAAAAAAAAAGACAATATTATTGTAATTTTGATTACGACTCGATGATCGGTTTATCTAAAATGAATATCGATCGAATTGGTTGCCGCAAAGACGACCGCTTAATTCGTATCGGCGACTCGATGGTTAGAAGGATGGTTTGGTCCTCCGATCGGCCCACATCCGCTCGACGGACTAATCGATGCCGCGGCAGAGAATTTCAATTAATTAAGCGACCCTCTCGTACGACCCACCAAGCTCTTGGTCCGCGTCAAAGGCCAGACGCGAACTTCGAATGATGCGATTCGATGGTTAGATCGAATTGGAAAGGGAAACTTTGTACTTCCTATCTCTCCGGGTCGAGCAAATCGGTCATTTAATTTTCAACCAGATCAGAGTCGCTGCTTTTGGAGTACTTGTCTCGAGTTCTCATTGCTAGTATTCATGGTTACTAATCTTATGTGCATCATATCAATTTGCTAAAAAATATTACGTCATACTTACGTCTACTTAGAAATAAACATTTTTTTAATATCGTCTATGCTCAGTTTAAAGTTACTAATAATATTTCTTTTCTTTTATTCTAATGCATATTTTTTAAAGCATACTTTTTTCCATTCATAATGTTTTCCATCAAAAATTTCTTTAACGACGAGTTATAACTCAGATTAAACATAAATGTTAGTTATTCGTATCATAAAAATCGGTAGACACTTTTAGGACAATCAAATACATTGAACAAGATCGATGTAATCGAAGTGATCAAATCTGTTTTCATTGCTATTCTTTTATCTATTATTTTTATATCACACTTTTGCTTGCACTTATACTTTCATTTATTTTTACATACTGACTTACAAATAAATAAATTTTCAAAAATAAAGTATCAATCGGCAAAGAGATTAACTCAATAATCGATTAGTTAATCATCGTATTTTGATCGTTTTATTTTCCACTATTATACGATTCAAAGTTTGAAAGATACTCGAATAACTTGAAACTCGTTGAGTCTATCTTATTACTTTTTCTCTCGTCTGGATTCTCGACGAATACTCGGATACTTTGGAATGTGAAAACTCCAAGAGACTATTTCACGAAAAATAAAGAATAAGGAGAAAAAGTAATGGAAGAAAAAGAGACCAATTGGTGATAGGGGAAAAGGGAAGGCAGGCGTTAACGGAAAGTAATCGATAACGGAAAATAAACCGCAGCGAACATACTTCACGTGTGGGTAGAACAGCTTGAGAAGAGAACTAAGGGAAGAAAAACGGTGATCTTCAGGATAGTAAAGAGAAAAGACATGTTAGAGGGTGAGGGTAAGGGTGAGTAGTATGTATGTGAACGGAAGAGAATAAGAGGAAGAGGAAAAGAGGGAGAGGGAGAGAGAAACCTACCGCTTTCGATAGCATCCGGTACTGCGGTTGACTCTCCTACCAGTTGGATATTCGAAATGGAGAAACGAACGTGAACGCATAGCTTGTAGCTTCTCTCTCTCTCTCATTCTCAATCTCCTCCCTCTCTTTCTATCTATGCTAGGAATGCAGGGTATTTGATATTTGCGTTTTGGCCAACGACGCCAAGGGGAATCGGACGGCGCCGGTACCAACAGTCGACACGAATTCAAGTTCTAAACTTGAATCCTCTTCGTTGACTCTGATGCAGTTTACTAAATTCAAAGAGAGAGAGAGAGAGAGATACTGAGTTATTTAGCTGTTAATATGATTTTCGAGTCTTATTCTGTCCTTACATTTGATTTATTTTTCAACTAAATGGCAAAAGATTAATTCAACACAATACAAAATTCGTGATATTTATCAGTAAAAAATTATTAACTCATAAAACAACTTTAAAATTATACAATTATTATTAAAACTATTGAGTTATAGTTTCCTTTTGGGCTTACTAAGTAAAGATTTTTTCAATAATGTTAATTTTACTATTAGCTAGTAAATAAGCCATTAAAAAGTGAATATTTTCAACAACAAAATTTGTACTCGATTTCAGATTATTGAGGATTGTTAGCCTCGTTGCATTATTTACAATAGCACAATTCAAATTGAAGTTATAATAGCTGTTTTATTTTTTAATCGTAGTATAAGTGCGAGTAATTCGGGCAGGCTGTCAGTAATTGTCGATCCCGTTGAATGACATTCCTGGATGTATTTGGAATTTATTGGAAATTTTGGTGTGATGCGAAATCAAATATTATGGAAAAGGAGGTGTCAAAAATGACATATGTATGTTTTTACAATGGGAAATAATATAATAATTTATTTAGAAGAAATTTAATAACAATATTACGCACATGTTATTTTTAATATGTTGATCGTAAAATAAAATCGATATTGGATCACGAAGTTCATTTATTATTCGATTGATCGGTTTCTTCTAATTTTCACGTAGTTTCGATACCAAGTTTTAGTCATGATCAAAGGATATTAAAAAATAAAAAGTTCGAGTAAGTACAAGCATTGTATCCGAATGAATACTTAAGTTGGGTTCCTTGGTATGGCTCGTTAAAAGTGGGAAGGTAAATGATGAGAAGTATGAGAAGGGGGTAAAATTTTGAACTTAATAACGTCACAGTGAATAAATTCGTTAACGAGGTTTCTTGCGAACTAGTTAGAAATTGTCAGAAAGTTTTGAAACTGGAGTGTTGTTCTTCGTCATTGATTCGTGCATACACGATATAGTAAGCTTTCGATATACGTATATATCGATAAACGAACGAGCAGTTTTTCGCTGACAGTTCTTGTTCGTAAGCATCGTTTCCATAATTGCATTGACTCTTGGAAAAACTTTGAAGGATCGATATTTTCTTTTCGATAAACTTTTTAGTATGACGTGTATTGTAAACGATGGAGTAACTTCGTTATTATGTAAAAACTTGTTACAAGATGCTATCGATTATAATGAAATAAATTTAAAAATAAATAAAACATCGATCTAAAGGAGAAAAAAGAAAGAATAACTTGTACATCTACAACTTGTTACAATCATAATGTAATACTACTATCTGAATTTCTAATATCCGTCGAGCATTACGATTATATTATCGATTAAAATCGATTTAATAGATGTGGGACGTTAACAATTTTTGATAATAATCGTCACACGAGTTGACAGATCGTAATATAAATTGTTAAATATAACGTACAAATAGACAGAATATATTTAAAGGATATTTGAATAGTTATAATCAGTAAAATGAGAATCTCAATATTTGAAAATATTCGAGAAATGATCCAATGTATATACGTTGATTGACGCGAGACAGCCTGGTGAATACGCAACGCAGCTGGCTCAGGAATTATTTTAACTGTTCCGAAAATCCGATCAAATTAAAAGCCTCTGGGTAAACACGGTTTAATAAACTTTTAAACGATTCGTTTCACCCTTGTTAGGTTTTATTCCAAACGGGTTGCCGGGTTCGTTGTCGGTGAGTATAATGCAATAAGGTATGCGTGCACATAACAATTGCAGAGACATAATAATAGTGTGAAAGCTCTCATTGAATTCGTCATTTGCTTCGTGAAAATCGTCGACAATAACGTAGTCAATAAATAATGCATCGATGTTGCAAAGTTCAACCCTTTCGACGACAAATTTTCAACGGGTTTTAACGAAAGCTTTTCGTCACGAAATCTCGACATTTTTCAACGAAAAATAAAAAGACAAAAAATTCTAATCTGTCAACGAGTCCGAGAAGATTTTAGTCGAAGACTGAACTCGTTCGTGCCCGTAGGCTCTTCTTGATTTTCAGAAATATTCTGCTGGAAGTCAGTCCTCCCGTCCGGCTTAGCGTTATCGGCTAGACGACAGACAGTCGCGGCTTTTCCCGTCAGGGTTGATGACAAGAGCGAGAGAAAGAGAAAGAAAAAGAGGGGTTACTACTTTCATTCGTGGGCTTACAATGCGCCGTCTTTTAGCGGGTATGCCGTACCTGTTGGTGGGCACGGATCCCGCGTGACTACTGCTGCTTCTGCTGCTGCTACTGCTACTGCTACTACTACGTCGTGCATTAATACGCACCGGCGTACCTTTTATGAGCTTTGGAAAAGAGAGCGATAGCCTTCCAACCATCTCGTCTCTTCAAGCTTACAAGTAAGAAAGATAGAGCTAGTGAATGAGTATGAAGAAAGAGAGAGAGAGAGAGAGAAGTTGAACGATGCGTGTTTGCTCTAAGGCCTACCAACCACGTTCAACTCTTTTCGTTTTCCTCTTCGTCGTCGTCGTCGTCGTCGTCTTCGTCGTTTGTCGTTGTAGGTCTATCAAACCATCCACGTGCCTACTTCCTTCTCTACTTATGTTAGATTCGTGTGTATGAGAGCTATGGGAAAGGGTTAAAAGTGAAAGACAGAAAAAGAGAGAGAGAAAGATGAAGAAGAAGAAGAAGGTGAGGGGTAAAAGAAGAGGGAATCTGTGAGTAAAGGGCGAGCTGGCGTACGGTCAGGACCTTTCTAAACGCGCGCACACGAGAGGCCATGGGCCGAGGCAAGGGTCGCGACGTGAGTGCTTATTACACATTCAGGGCCCTGCATTTGCACTGTGGCCCGTTGGAAAACCCTCCTCCTTCTCTATATTTCTTTCTTTCTTTCTTTCTTTCTTTCTTTTTTCCTTCGTTTTTCTCCCTTTAATCCTCCCGCAACTTCGAGTCTTCTCTTT